GTGTATATCTCTTCTCCTCCCTCCTCCAGACCTCAGGGGCCAAGGCCAAGGCCAGGCCAGGTGCCAGCTTGTCAGGGAGACTGATTAAAAGCAGCCTTTCCTGGGGGAGGGGGGAAGAGGGGTGCGGGTCGGGGGAGGTTCGGTGTCCTTGGCCTGGAGTGGCAATCAATAAGCAATTGTCTCTCTCTTGGCAAGAAAAGCAGATCTCCATTAACGCCCTCAGGTGCTGCCAGGCTCGGTTCTTTTCAGGAACTCGGCAGGCCTGGCAGAGGTGGCCCTGGCCGGGAGGGCGGGCCACAAGGCCAGGGCTCGGAGCCACACCAGAGCAGGCTGGCCCTAGCTGGTGTGGCTCAGTGGATAGAGCGTCAGCCTGAGGATTGAAGGGTCCTGGGTTCGATTCCAGTCAAGGGCACATGCCCGGGTTGTGCACCGGATCCCCAGTGGGGGCCACACAGGAGGCAGCTGATCAGTGATTCTCATCATTGATGTTTCTATCTCTCTCTCCCTCTCCCTTCCTCTCTGAAAACAATAATATATATATATATATATATATATATATATATATATATATATATATATATTTTTTTTTTTTTTTTTAAGAGCAGGCTAGTCTCTTGGACATCAGTACCTCATAGGAACATTCTGGAACACAGCCTGGCAGGTAGTGAGCATTGAATAGGCATTTGTGGAAATAACAGCTTTTTGATCACTTGACCGTGTACCAGGCAGGCTATTGAGTGAAGGTTCACTTAACAGTCCTCATGACTATTGGGTGCGTGCCCATTTTATAGATAAGAACACTGAGGCCGGGAGAGGCTAAGTCACTTGTCCATGGCGAGCTCAAGCAGTCAAACCTCAGGGGCCCTGCTTTTCCCCTCCTGGGAGACAAGGACCGTGGAAGGGATATGTGATGTGATAGCAGTGGGTTCACAGAGAACATTGAACTTGGGGTTTTATTCTTCAACTGATGGAGAAGCCAAGACAGGACCCCCGTTAAGGCTTCTTTCTCAGATATGCTGATATACTCCCCCCCCCCCCCCCCCCATAGCCTTATCATCTGAAGTCCTGTCATGGCTACAGTTACCTTCCTCCCAATTTTTACTTTTAAAGGTGCATACAGTGAAAAGTAAGCCCTCCCATCTAGTTTCCCCACTTCTGCAGACCAGTGGAGGCCACGGTTAACCATTTTCTTGTATCCCTTTCCACAAAAACGCTGTGCACACGCAATCATGAACCACGTATGGCCTTCCCCCACGCCAGCAGCAGCGTACGAATGTGTTGGTTTTCCTCTGTAATAGGTGGTGTGTCTTGGAGCTCGTTCATATTAGGATGTGTAGAGGCACCTCTTTTAAAAGAAAAGCATGGAGCCGAAACCGGTTTGGCTCAGTGGATAGAGCGTCGGCCTGCGGACTGAAAGGTCCCAGGTTCGATCCCGGTCAAGGGCATGCACATTGGTTGCGGGCGCATCTCCAGTAGGGGGTGTGCAGGAGGCAGCTGGTCTATGTTTCTCTCCCATTGATGTCTCTGGCTCTCTATTCCTCTCCCTATCTCTCTGTAAAAAATCAATTAAAAAAAATATATATGTTTTCTCCTGGGGTATGTGCACCTTATTTTCCTTTTATTTACTCAGTCCCCTGTGCATGGCCCTTTCAAACCACACTACCAAAATCATCTCATTTTTTTATGTGCATGAGATTGCCTATAGATAAATACTCAGGTGTGGAGTTGCTAAATCAAAGGTCTGCATTTGGGGTTTTGCTAAATATTGGTGAATTTCTCTTTGAAAGGATGATGCCAATTCATACTCCCTGTAGCCTCACCGAAATAGTGTTATTATTATTATTATTTTTTGTCGTGGTCTATCCCATAGTTGGAAAAAGTTTTACTATTATTTCCTTTTTAAATTTCCACTGAGGATATTTTTTTTTCCTATTGTTTTTTAGACAGCAGAAGGTAGGGGGAGAGACAGAGAAAGAAAACATAGATTTGAGAGAGATGCATGGATTGGTTGCCTCCTGACCGGGGCCAGGGATCAAGCCTACACCGAGGTACATGCCTTTGACTGGAATTGAACCTGTGACCCTTCAGTCTGCAGGCTGACGCTCTAACCACTGAGAAAAACTGGCTAGGGTTTATTTTCTTGATTTTGGTAAAATATACATAACAGAAAACTTTACAATTTTAATCACTTTTTACATGTATAATTCAGTGGTTTTAGTTAAATGCACAATGTTGTGCAACCATCATCACTACTTCTAGAGTTTTGATATCACCTCACACAGAAATCCTGTACCCCGTAAGCAATGATTCCCTGTTCCCCACCAGCCTCTGCTAACCTCTCTTCTACTTTCTGTCTTTGAATTTGCCTGCTCTCGGTATCTCACATAAGTGAAATCATACAGTGTTTGTCTTTTACTATCTGGCTTGTTTCACTTACACATGTCAGAACTTCATTCCTTCTTTATGGCTGGATAATGGTGCGTTGTATGGTCAGACCACATTTCTGCTTATCCATCATCCGTTGGCGGACACTTGGGCTGTTTCCATCTTTTGGCCATTGAGAACAATGCTGCTGTGAACACGAGTGTCTGTGTATCTGTTTGAATCCCTGCTTTCAATTCTTTTGGGATCAGACTTAGGGGGAAGACTTGCTGGGTCACGCGGTAATTCTGTATTTAACGTCTGGAGGACCCACAAGCCATTCATGGAAGTTTGAGTTTGTAATCCTCCTAACAGCGGCCAAGCATCTTGTCACATGACTGGGTGTTTGTTGTTCTTTTACTGTGAGCTCTGTGTTCATGAATCATGCCCGTGTCCAGGCTGGTATTTCCTCAGTGCCCAACAGCAGGGGGCCCATCTGCCTACATCACTGTCTCAATGGGCTGGCGTAGGAGCCGTTCCTGAAATGCTTCTTTTAGGACCCTCCCAGGAGGGCACGTGACATTTCTCTGCCCCTCTTCCACTTCCTCCAGGGAGCGCTGGCTTTCTGCTCCCATCTGTTCCCTCCTCTTTATCCCCTCACTGCCTTCGAGAGATAATTTATTCATAACGCCTCTCCACCCGGCACCTTTGTGGTGTGGTGATCAGCACGAGGCTGCCACCGTCCACATCTGGGGAGGTACTCCCCGAGTTTGACAATTGTCCAGCAGAATTGGTTGAGCACAGGAACCAACGTTTAATAATCTTCCGTCCCAGAGATGGAAGGAATTGACAGTCTTAAAGGGAGCGCGTCGGTCTTTTTTTTTTTTTTTTTTTTTTTTAACCATTTAAAAATATACAAGGCGGTGGCATTTAGGACATTCACACTCTGTCTAGTTCCAGAACATTTTCACCACCCCAAAAGGAAGCCCTGTCCCCGTGAGCGGCCCCTCCTGTCCCGCCCAACACCTCCCCCGTCCGGGCAGCCGCTAATCTACTCTCTGTCTCTGTGGATTTGCCTGTTCCAGGAGTTTTGTATAAATAGAACCATACAGATGTGACCTTTGGGTCTGGCTTCCTTCACTTCGCCCGATGGCTTGGAAGTGCATCTGGGTTGTAGCACATGCCAGGGTTTGGTTCCTTTTTAGGCCCGAGTCTCATTGCGTTGTGTGGCTGGGTCCTGTTGTGCTTATCCCTTCATCTGTTCGATGGACGATGGACGTGGAGGTTGTACACCTCAGAACAGGATTGCTAGGTCACGTGGTAATTCTCTGTTTGATTTTTTTAAAAAAAATTTGTTTTTTTACAGAGAGGCAGGGAGAGGGATAGAGAGTTAGAAACATCAATGAGAGAGAAACATCGACCAGCTGCCTCCTGCACACCCCCTATCGGGGTTGTGCCCGCAACCAAGGTACATGCCCTTGACCGGAATCGAACCCGGGACCTTCAGTCCGCAGACCGATGCTCTATCCACAGAGCCAAACCGGTTTTGGCTCTGTTTGATTTTTTTGAGGAACCACCAAGCTATTTTGATATCAAGGTTCTTGGCCTCATGTTTGCCTTACGTCTGGCGGGCACCAGCTGGGGCCTGGCTCCTTAGGTAACACAAACCGCTCTGGCTCCCACCATCTGGGCACCCAGGCTTTGTCTCCTGTGACCCCTGACCCCCACTTCCTGGTTGAGGATCATTGACCAGGAGACCCAGCTGCTGCGTACGGGGGCTCTGCGTTAGGGAACCTTGGCCAAAATCCCTTTCCTGCTCTCCAGCCTCAGCTTCACCTTGCACCGGGTGGGGCTGTGGCAGCAAACCAGCAGCCTGGTGTGCCTGTGAGATGAGGCTGGTGTGCAGATGTTTTGTAAGCTGTGAAGTGCTGTTTGAATCATCCCCATGGTGAGCGATGCAGCCTGGAGGTGTTCCATGTGGCCTACCCAGCATTGGAAAGTGTTTGAAATCATTGCTAATTAAGAAAAAAAAAAAAATCGTGAGATCTCATCTAACATGCTGGGTTTAGGGCTTTTTTTTTTTTTTTTTTTTTTTTTTTTTTTTTTAAGGGAAAACCAGGCAGTACTAGATTCCTTCTCAGCAATAGCTGGCTTGAGCTGGAAATAGCTGCCCTCTCTGTAGGGGACCTGCGTGCTCTGTTTTGGGGTTTTCTCATGTACTTGGTTCCTTCTGAAATTGAGTTTGGAATTCTTTTTTCTTTTTCTTTTTAATGATCACCTCAGGATATGTCTTTATTGCTTTTTAGAGAGAGAGGAACATCGATCGGTTGTCTTCCTGTATCTTCCCAAACCGGGGATTGTACCCGCAACCTCGGTAATGTGCCCTGACCAAGAGTCAAACTCACAACCTTTTGGTGTGTGGGTGGACACTCCAACTAACTGAGCCACCCGGCCAGGGTGAGTTTGGAACTCTTGTTTTATGTGTGAGGAGGGGCTTTTAAAACAAGGAAGTGTGGAGTATTCCTTTCTGTGTAGACTCAGGGATCAGGTTTTACAGGATTTTTTTTTTTAAGGACGTCACACCAGGCCCCAGCCTAGGCCAGCAGCGGGGTGCGCACTGACCCTTCCTCCTTCTGCAGGTGGCACCGCTGCTCATGGGACTGCCGCGGGGCGTGCTCGTCAGATGAGGTCCGCACACGCACCATGTCATCATGTGTCTCTAGTCAGCCCAGCAGTGACCGGGCCGCCCCCCAGGATGAGCTGGGGGGCGGGAGCAGCAGCAGCAGCAGCAACAGCGAAGGCCAGAAGCCTTGCGAGGCCCTGCGGGGCCTCTCGTCCCTGAGCATCCGCCTGGGCATGGAGTCCTTCATCGTGGTCACCGAGTGCGAGCCGGACTGCGCCGAGGACCCTGGCCCCACCCAGGACCCGCTCCTGGAGGCTGAGGGCCTCGACGCGGGGGCCCAGGCCCGACCCCGCCTCTCCAGTCGCAAGCTGTCTCTGCAGGAGCGGTCCCAGCTGGATGCAAACGGCCGCTGCATCCACCCGGCCCAGCCCTCCTCCCCCGTGGGCTCCCCGCAGTCCTCGCCCCGGCTGCCCCGGCGGCCCACCGTGGAGTCCCGCCACGTCTCCATCACGGGTTTGCAGGTGCGTGAGCGGCCGCTGAGCCAGGGGTCTGACTCCGCGTCTGATCGGCTCCCCCAGAACGTTCCCTGTGCAACCAGCCGACTGGGGAGGTGACCCCGGAAAACCCAGGTGGGGCCCTCGCTGGTTTGGCTCAATGGATAGAGCGTCAGCCCGTGGACTGAAGGGTCCCAGGTTCGATTCCGGCCAAGGGCACATGCCCGGGTTGTGGGCTCGATCCCCAGTAGGGGGCGTGCAGAAGGCAGCCGATCAAGGATTCTCTCTCATCATTGATGTTTCTATCTCTCCATCCCTCTCCCTTCCTCTCTGAAATCAATTAAAAAATGTTTAAAAAAGAAAGAAAACCCAGGTGGGGAAGGAAGGGAGAGGAAAGGAAGTCAGCGAAGGATGCAGTGAAGGAGCTGGTTGCCAGTTAAGGAGCTGGTTACCCATAGAGACAGGGAGAACGAAGTCTGAGTTAGCCCACCGGAGGGCAGGGGCGCGAGGCCGCCGGGTGGGTGACCTGCCCTGAGTGGGATCAGAGCGTCTGGGGGCCGGAGAGAGCCTCTCGCAGGGAGATGCATGTGCTGGTGGTTGGAACTTGTAGGGGGCCTCTGACCTGGGGGTGGCAGGTCCCTGAGAGGCCTCATGGTCTACAGCCTGGCCCCCTTGGCTGGGTGGTTTGCCTGCACCAGGCACTGCGCTCAGCTCTGTGTGTGTGTTTCTCATTCGATCCTTGTCTGGGAGGTAGATCAGGACTCAGGTCCCCACCAGGTTCTCGGAGCCCTGTGTGATCTGCCTCATCTCTTCTCCTGCCCCGCCTCCTGCCTTTCTGCTGGCGACTCACAGGCCTCCATCCATACTCACTTTCTTACGTTCTTCAGAAGCTCATTATCCTCCTTAGGCCCATACCTTTGCCTGTCCCCTCTGCTTAGAACTTCTCCTGATTTTGCAAGGTCACCTCCATCTGACATCCCAATCTCTACTCAACTGTCCCCACGGAAAGGGCTTTGGGACTGTCCTCTCTGAGCAGCCTGTCTGCTTGCCCTGTTGACTCATCACCATTATGTCTTGCATTTGGTTAGTTGCTTATTGCTCTGTGTGTGTGTGTGTCTCCCCCCTCCTCCCCCCCCCCCCATCTAGAATGTAAGCTTTGTAGGGACAGGCTTGTTCCCCATTGTGTCCCCAGCGTTCACTTCACACAATGCCTGGCCCTTAGCAGGAGCTTGAAAATGAATGAATGAATGAATGAATGAATGAATGAATGAATGAATTGGGAGAAGCCTGGAAATCAGGAATGGCTACAGTTCGAGGGCCATCACCCCAATCAAGATCACCGGCTTTTCCAGCTCACCCAGCAATGTATCCCTCCTCCCACTTCCCTTTCCCACAAAACCACTGACCTGGTGTTTTGTGCTATTTTTTTAAAAATATGTTTTTATTAATTTCAAAGAGAAAGGGAGCAGGGGAGAGAGAGAGAAACATCAGTGATGAGAGAGAGTCATTGATTGGCTGCCTCTCCACTGGGGATCGAGCCGGCAAGCAACTTGGGCATGTGCCCTTGACCGGAATCGAACCAAGGACCCTTCAGTCCACAGGCCGACGCTCTATCTACTGAGCCAAACTGAGCCAAACGGGCTAGGGCCCACTGACCTGGTTCTTATCATCATAGATTAATTTGCAAGTTCCAGGATTTTATGTAAGTGGCATTGTTTAAGCATGTAGTCTTTTTTAGCTTAGCTTCTTTCACAGTATAATGATGCTGAGGTTTGTCCACGCTGTTGCAGACACCAGTAGTTCCTTCTTTTTTTTTTTTTTTTCCTTCTTTTTTATTGCTAAACGGAATTTCACTGTTCAGATATACCCCAGCTTATTTATCCATTTACCCGTAGATGGACATTTATTTGGGTGGTTTCCAGCTTTTGGCTTTTCCAAATAAAGCTGTTGTTGATATCTGTACACAAGTCTTTGCCTGGATATGTGTTATAATTTCTTTGGGATAAATGCCTAGGAGTAAGAATGGCTGGATCATATGGTAAATGTATGTTGTTAAGATAGTGCCAGACTGTTTTCTTTTTTAATATATATTTTATTGATTTCAGAGAGGAAGGGAAAGGGAGAGAGAGAGAGAGCTAGAAACATCAATGATGAGAGAATCATTGATCGGCTGCCTCCTACACGCCCCCACTGGGGATCAAGCCCATGACCCTGGCACATGCCCTGACTGGGAATCGAACCGGTGACCTCTTGGTTCATAGGTCAATGCTTAACCTCTGAGCAGCCAAACTGTTTTCTAAAGAGGCTGCACTGCCATAGCTGGTTTGACCTAGTGCCGTGGTCAGCAAACTGCGGCTCTCAAGCCACATGCGGCTCTTTGGCCCCTTGAGTGTGGCTCTTCCACAAAATACCACGGCCTGGGCGAGTCTATTTTGAAGAAGTGGCATTAGAAGAAGTTTTAAGCCAAAAAATTTGGCTCTCAAAAGAAATTTCAGTTGTTGTACTGTTGATACTTGGCTCTGTTGACTAATGAGTTTGCCGACCACTGGCCTAGTGCATAGAGTATCAGGCCTTGGACTGAAGGGTCCCAATTTCGATTCTGGTACCTCAGTTTCAGGCTCAATCCCCGGGTCACGTGCAGGAGACAGTTAATCAATGTCTCTCTCACATTGATGTCTCTCTCTCTTTCTCCCTCGCCTCTCTTCCACTCTCTCTAAAAATCAATGGAAAAATATCCTCGGTGTGGATTAAAAAAATAAAGAGGCTGCCCCATTTTAAATTCCCATCAGCAGTGTATGCAGGTTCTATATGCCCTAAATTCTTGGGTCAATCTTCTTGATTTTAACTAATCTATTAGGTGTGGTTTAAATTTCTATTTCTCCATTGATTAATACTTCTAGTCATTTGCATCTTCTTTGGAGAATTTTTTTCCACATCTTTTGCCCATTTCTATTTTTTAAAATATGTATTTTATTGATTTCAGAGAGGAAGGGAGAGGGAGAGAGATATAGAAACATCAATGATGAAAGAGAATCATTGATCGGCTATCTATTGGGGATCGAGCCTGCAACCCAGGCCTGTGCCTTGTCTGGAATTAAACTCAGGACACTTCAGTCCACAGGTCAATGCTCTATCCACTGAGCCAGATTGGCTAGGGCTCTTTCACCTATTTAAAAAAATATATTGGGTTGTCTTCTTAGTAATGAGTTGTGATAGTTCTTTATATATTCTGGATACTAGTCCTTTGTCTGATATATGTGTTGCAAATAGTTTCTTTTAGTGTGTGGCTTGCTGTTCATTTTCTTTAATAGGATCTCAAAGAGCAAAAGTTTTCATTTTGATGAAGTCCAGTTTATGATTTGTTTCCTTTTATGTTCTGAACTTGTTATATCTTATCTAAGAAACCTTGTCCCAAGGGCACTTATATCATTTTACATTTCTATAGGACAACATGGTCATGGATTACTTGTTTTACTTAAAGTGAACTCTTTATAAGTGGGTACAATTTTTTATTTTTTAAAATACATTTACAGTACTGTACATATTTACCTTATTTTTTATTTTTATTTTTTAAAATATGTTTTTATTGATTTTTTTACAGAGGAAGGGATAGGGATAGAAAGTCAGAAACATCGATAAAATGGGTATAATCTTTTAAAAATGACTATAAAGAGACTCCAAACTCTTTGATTATGTATTTGCAATGTACAAAAGCTGCTGTTAGAAGTCAGGACACTGGCCACCCTACAGAGGGGCCAGTGGCTGGGGATGCTTCTGTGGGGCTGGGAATGACCTCTTTCTTTCTTTTCTTTAAAATTAAAAAAAATACCTTTTTATTGATTTGAGAGAGAGAGAAAGGGAGAGGGAGAGAGAGAGAGAAATACACATGAGAGAGAAACATTGATTGGCTGCCTCCTACTGAGGATGGAGCCAACAACCCGGGCATATGCCCTGACTTGGAATCGAACCAGCGACCTCTTGGTGCTTGGTTCGATGTTCAGTTCACTGAGCAACACTGGCTGGACAGTGCCCTCTTTCTTGATGTTTGTGACAGATTTATCTAGCTGCAAATGTACCGTTTATGTTCTCTGTGTTTACTTTCCAGGATTGTGTTCAGCTGAACCAGTACACGCTGAAGGATGAAATCGGAAAGGTAAGTATCCTTAGGAGCCAGGATGTGTAGATACGGTGGGGGGCAGCCATCAGAGCTGGGAGTGGGAGAGGAGTTCTTGGAGGCAAGGGTGCGGGCAAGGTTTTGGGAGTCCTGGTCTTATTTGTTTTTATATCATCATACTAATGTGTTTCTGCAAAAGCACAGGAAGTGTCCTGAGAAATCCCACATCACTCTGGTGGTAGTTATGCCATCCCCATAGTAGTGTTGATCTATTCTCCCCTAAGGTACTCTTGCATCTGTTTTTGCTTTTGTTTTAGCCACTGGGCAGTATCGTTACAGGGGTCAAAAACTCACACGCCCCTAGAAAGAGTCAATGGGGAAACTATAAGGGGATATCTGTAATACTTTCTACAATAAAGATAGATTTTGAAAAAGCTCAACATGCCAACAGAGCGCTAATAGAAATGAGCAGAGCATGCTGGGTATGGCAGCAGGGAGTGGTGAGGTCTGTGGCAAACTAACACATGGAAGTGATCATTGCCTTCATACGGCCAGACCGTCTGAGGCTGGGAATCTAGGTTCTTACATCCAGTCTTTCTGTCTTGGCAACTAATTCAAACTTCCTAAAAACTATTAGACCCAACAAAATGCAATTGCGGGGAAGATTTGGCAGGTCATAATTTTTTTATTGTATATGTCATGGCCATCTCCCTTTATCCAGGGCTCCTATGGCGTGGTCAAGTTGGCCTACAATGAAAATGACAACACCTACTATGTGAGTATCCACATCCCTCTCCACCCCCATCCTTGTCCAAAGACAAAGCCCTCCTTTTCTTTTCTTGTTGGCTGTTTGTTTTCTTTGTTAATCTTCACAAGAGGATATTTTTCCTTTGACTTTTTAGAGAGAGTAGAAGGGAGGAGAGAGACAGAGAGAGAAACATCAATGTGATAGAGACACATCGATTGGTTGCTTTCCACATGCACCCCAACCAGAGCTGGAGATGGAACCTGCAATGGAGATTTTTGCCCTTGACCAGGATTGAACCTGGGACCCTTCAGTCTGTGGTCCAGTGCTCTATCCACTGAGCCAAACATGCTAGGACAAGACCTCATTTTCAGCGCTCAGCTTCCTGGAAGGTTTTCTTAGCTGTTGTGTCATTTTATTATTAGTTCATGTGTATTTTGTGCATTAGGAAGGAAGTGGTATTTCTGTTTTACAGATGGGGACAAAGGGAGGTGAAGGGATGGCTTAGGAAGAATGAATGAATGCATGAATGAATGAAGTCAGCAGACATCTCATATCCTTACTCTGGGCTGCCATTTCTACATCCTCCATAGTCCTAAGAACCAGGAGGTAGTGAGCCAAACAGCCCTTGCAGCTGAGGCTCTGGAGTCAGTCCAATGTGGGTTCAAATCCTGCCTCTCTCCGGTGCCAACTTGCGTGACCTTAGGCAAGCGGCATAACCGCTAACCCGCACTTTTCCCTTGTGTAACCCAGCCAGTCCTGCCCCATCACCCCAGCTCACTCACGCCTCGTTCAGTAGCAAGGAAGCCCTCGGCTTTGCCCTTTCAGCTGGGGCAGCTGACCTGGAACCCTGGAGGCACCTTCAGGGCTGGAGGGACCCTGGGGGCCCAACCTCCATAGAACCTGCTGCTGCTTGACCCCCTCTGGTCACAGCATGGTCCCCAGGACAGCCATGGAGCCAAGAGCTCGGACAAGCCTGTGCGAGGAGGGGACTCCCCCGGCCGCTCTCCTCTGTGCTTTAACCTGGACCGGGGTCTCTTCTCCTGCAGGCGATGAAGGTGCTATCCAAAAAGAAGCTGATCCGACAGGCGGGCTTTCCACGTGAGTTCGGTGGGCCTTTCTCTTGGGCACAGGGGCTGGGGCTGCACAGAGAAGGTCCACTGAATGGTGTCCCCTACAGAGGGTGCCCGGGGCCGACACCCCCAAAGGCAGCGCTGGGCCTCCTACTGAGCTATTTATTGATTGATTGATTAATATATTTTTATTGATTTTTCCCAGAGAGGAAGGGAGAGGGATAGAGAGCTAGAAACATCGATGAGAGAGATACATCGACCAGCTGCCTCCTGCACACACCCCCCACCGGGAATGTGCCCGCAACCAACATACATGCCCTTGACCGGAATCGAACCTGGGACCTTTCAGTCCGCAGACAGACGCTCTATCCACTGAGCCAAACCGGTTTCGGCGCTACTGAGGTTTTTAAATTCACTTTCATGAATAGAAAAGTATTTAACATACTATAGGTTACAAAGTCAAAAAACCCTTTAGAGGAAAAGTTTGTCATGTCCTCAAAAAGTTAGACATGGAGTCGCCCTGTGAGCCAGCAGTGCCACTCCTAGGTATCCGCCCAAGAGGATAAAAATACACGTTCCCACCAAAGCCGGTCCGTGTATGTTCACAGGAGCACTGTTTGTAATGGCCAGGGAGTGGAAGCAACCCAATGTCTGTCCACAGATGAATGGATAAACAAAAGGTGGTCTGGCCCCGTGGCCGGCAAACTGCGGCTCGCGAGCCACGTGCGGCTCTTTGGCCCCTTGGGTGTGGCTCTTCCACAAAATACCATGGCCTGGGCGAGTCTATTTGGAAGAAGTGGCGTTAGAAGTAGTTAAAGTTTAAAAAATTTGGCTCTCAAAAGAAATTTCAATCGTTGTCCTGTTGATATTTGGCTCTGTGGACTCATAAGTTTGCCGACCACTGGTCTAGCCAATGGAATATTACTCAGCCATAAAAAGAAACGAAGCACTGATTCACACGGTCACACAGATGACTTTGAGAACATGATGCTGAGTGAAAGAAGCCAGACACAGAAAGGTCACATGGTGTGTGATTCTGCTCCTATGAAATGCCCAGAATAGGCAAATCCGTAGAGAGAGCAGATGGGTAGTTTCCAGGGCTTGGGTGTGAGGAGAGGCAGGGAAGACAATTAGTAGGTATGGGATTTGCGGGGGGGTGGGGGGGGGGGCCTGAAAAGGTTCTGGATTAGATGGTGGTGGTTGTTACACAACCTCAACAGGTTTCGAAATGGTGAATTAAAAAACTTTAAGTACCAGGAAGTATTTGAACTAGAGCTACCAGAAAAGCACAGGAGGGCATGTAGTGGAGGACAGCAGTTCTTGCTGTACACCTCTGCCGCCCTCCAGGCAGCCCCCACTTCTCGCTCTTTGTGGAGCTGGTAATCGGGACCTGTGGTCAGAGGATAGGCCTGCAGGTGTGTGTACCAGAGGCTGCTCCCCACCAGCACTGTCAGCGTGGGCCTCAGAGAGAGAGGAGATACGAGAAAACATACACTTCATCCTATCCCAGGACCCTGGTTTATCCGGCGTGTCTGAACTCCACGTCAGATAATACCTTGTGCCATTACTTCCTGATTTATCCTTTTTTGTTGTTAATTCTCACCTGGGGATATATTTTCTATTGTTTTAGAGAGAGAGAGAGACAGAGACAGAGACAGAAGAGAGAGAGGGAGGGAGGGAGGGAGGGAGGGAGAGGTTGCCTCTCCTCCACACACCCTGACTGGCCCAAGGATAGAACCTTCAATCCAGGTACATGCCCTTGACTGGGAACTGAACCTGAGACCACTCTTTTGGTGCTCAGACCAAAGCTCTGACCACGGAACCACTAGGCAGGGCTGATTTATTTTTGACATCTACCTCTGACTTCCTCTGAAGTCCATTTCTAACCTCCCTTTCCCAACCAGCCAGTGCAATGTTTAGCTCCTCTCTGGTTAACTACATTTGCCACTTCCCTCCTGTTCCAACAGGTATAGCCAGTGCCTCCTGACTCCTTGCTTTGTAAGAAGAGTTAGTGCCTTCCCTCCCTCCCTTTCCCTTCGCACTCCTCTTCACACCCCACTTCTGAGCCCTGTACCTTGCTTCCACTTTTCCACACATGGTCACGTCTGGGTCTGGTTCTGTGACTCACGCTTAGGTGCTGGCGTACAGAGGGTGCGCAATATGATGAGTTCTAACCGAGGCTCTTTCCGTCACTGTGGCCTTTTGTCTGTCAGTCACTGCAGGGCCAAGCGATGAACTCCGCCTGCCTATGTGGCATCATCTTTTTTTTCTTTCCCCCCCACCTAAAAAATATGGAACGCTTCATGAATTTGCGTGTCATCCTTGCACAGGGGCCATGCTAATCTCTGCCTCGTTCCAATTTTAATGACGTGCTGCCAAAGCGAGCACGTGGCATCATCTTTTGTTTTTGTGTTTTGTCTCATTGGCTCTTACATCTTTTCCTATTTCTGGCTTCATTTTCTGTCTCTGATATTTCAAGAGTTAAGGAGATGAGAGGCATCCTTTGAGGAGCAGGGATGGACTCACCCTGACACGTTGAGATTGCCACACCAGACCCCAGCCTTCTCCTCTACGCCCCTCAGTGGACTCCTGCCTCTCCCTGGAGCCTGGGATGGGGAGGAGGGGGTTCACAGAAGGCTGGGCAACAGGACCATGGTTCCAGCCCTGCTGGTTTCCAGTTGCAGAAGAAACAGATGAGGAGGAGGCTGTGTGAAGCCCCCATTGGCGTCAGTCACTCCGACCCTGTCCCTGAGCTGGTTTGTGTCTTCTTCAGGTCGCCCCCCGCCCCGAGGCGCCCGGCCAGCCCCCGGGGGCTGCATCCAGCCCAGGGGCCCCATTGAGCAGGTGTACCAGGAAATTGCCATCCTCAAGAAGCTGGACCACCCCAATGTGGTGAAGCTGGTGGAGGTGAGGCGGGGGCGGGGAGAGACACCAAGGAGGTCTGGCTCTGTTATGGCTCTGGTATTTTCCGGGGAGAGCCACACCACTGCTGATAGCTTATCGCAGGGCTGAGTAGTAATTATTACCCGTTACTTCATGCAGCCCTTACCCCTCCTAAGACTGTCGCTCCCATTTTACAGATGAAGAAATTGAGGCTCAGATGGATTCTCAGGCTTGTCCTTCACTCATTTCTGTCATGTTGGAGCTGCTCTTTTTCTACTGCATATATATGTAGTTGTAGCACAAAAGCAGCCACACACATGTCAACAAATGGTATAGCTGTGTTCCAACATTACTTTACTTACAAAAACAGGTGGTGGGCAGGACTTGGCTGTACACTGGAGTTCACCAGCCCTGGCTCCAGGCCAGCAGTTGTTTCACTTTGGTTTCAGGACTCGTTTATGCTCTTAAAAATGATTGGAGAACCCCCAATTTTTTTTTTTTTCTTATGTGGGTAATATTTACTAATATTCACCACATTCTAATTTAAAACTGAGAAATCTAAAGTTGTTTATTTAGAACAAGAATCATACTTCATATTAATGTAAGTGATATCTTTTTATGAATAATAACTATATTATTTGAACAAAAAAATTGAATTAGAAGAGAGGCATAATTTTACTTTAAAAAAATATATTTTATTGAATTTTTACAGAGAGGAAGAGAGAAGGATAGAGAGTTAGATACATCGATGAGAGAGAACCGTTGATCAGCTGCCTCTTGCACACCCCCCACTGGGGATGTGCCCACAACCAAGGTACATGCCCTTGACCGGAATCGAACCTAGGACCCTTCAGTATGCAGGCCAACGCTCCATCCACTGAGCCAAAGCAGTTTCGGCAATTTAATTTTACTTTAAAAAAAAAAAATATATATATATATATTGATTTCAGAGAGGAAGAAAAGGAAATAGAGATAGAAACATCAATGGTGAGAATCATTGATTGGCTGCCTCCTGTGCACCCCCTACTGGGGATCAAGCCCACAACCCGGGCATGTGCCCTGACCAGGAATCCAACTGTAATCTCCTGGCTCATAGGTTGATACTCAACCACTGAGCCCCATGGGCCGGGCATAGTTTTACATTTTTGCAAATTTTTGTTGTAGTTGATGTCTGGCTTACGAGAAGATGACTGGATTCTGGTATCTGCTCCTACTTTCAACCTGTTGTGATATCACGTGTCATGTGGTTTCTGAAAGGGTGGCCATAGTGATCAGGGGGAAGCAGAGGCCATGAGAGAAGGAGAGAGAGAAAGTCCACGCTGGGAGGCAGCATGTCCTGCCGGGGCTGGGGAGAAGGGGGGCAGGATTTGTATTTTCACCTTGAGGACCCATTTAGTTGTCTCCTAGGAGACAGGTGGGGCTCTTATTTCAACCTAAGACGTTTCTCAGGGAGGATTTGCCCCCTCCCTTTTGACACCTTTCTGGGCGTTTCGGACCCTGGAGAGTTTGGACCCTTGTGGTTGTGTCGGATGCCGCTTCCTCCCCATTCATCTCTTCCTCCTCTCTCCCTCGCCCTGCTCCTGTCTCTGCCTGCTCCATGTGGCTGTGCCAACAGGTCCTGGATGACCCCAACGAGGACCATCTGTACATGGGTAAGACTTGAGCCCTTGTCTTCTGCCACCCTTGCTCAGGCGGCTGTGACTGCTGAAGGCCCGGCAGACTCTGGAGGCAGCCCCTGGCCCCGTCATCTCCCTCCAAGGACAGCTTCTCCTTTCCCATTTCAGCCGGGCCCCCACAGTTTGAAGCAAGAGGGGGAAGGCAGTTCTTGCTGGGACTTTATTTATCTGCATGTCCTAGTCACTCACTTGCGAATGTTTATTGAGAAACTACTATACGCTGGGTCCTATTCTAGGCGCGAAGGATGCCGTGACGAGTAGGAAAGATAACATTCTTTCCTACATGAGGAGGAAGCTGACATTCTACTTGGGGGTGACAGCCAACCCCTATTAAATAAGCCAGATAATCCACTTGACACAGATGCTCTGAAGAAGGTTAAACAGGGTGATGGGGGGGAAAGATGGAGGGCCCGCCTCCGATAGGAGCTAACCAGGAAGCACCTGACCAGCGCACAGCCCTGTTGCCTTTGGGGAAGAGCATTCCGGGAAGAGGGAGCAGCGGGTGCAAAGGGTGGTGGGAGCTTTGTGTGTCTGCACAGAAATGTGGCTGGGGCTGAGTAAACCGGAGGGAAGAGATGAGGTTGAGGGTGTGGGAGGCCCTGGTGGGGCATTTGGAGCCTTGGGGACGAGGGGCACAGAGGGCCCTGGGCACTGCACATGGAAATGGAAGGACTTGGGCATGTCTTCAGAAGCCTCATTAAAAAAAAAAAAAATGGTGAGGACATTGGGCAGCCCCCAGAGTAAAGGCTGATGAAGGAAAGAAGGGCAGGATTGTTCGAAACTGAACAGCATGCTGTTGGGCCCCTGAATAGGTGATTGACAGGTCACCTGTCCAGATAATGTTTGGCTTGGGTAGGCTTTCACAAGAGTGGTGCAGATAGGGTTTTTCATTTTTTAAAAAATATATGTTTTTTATTGATTTCATAGAAGGGAGAGGGAGAGAGAGAGAGAAGCGTCAGTGATGAGAGAGAATCATTGATCGGCTACCTCCTGCACGCCCCACACTGGGGATCGAGCCTGCAGCCTAAGCATCGAGCCCACAGCTGGGCTGAGCCCTGACCGGGAATGGAACCCTGAGCTCCTGGTTCCTATTCTAGGTTGATGCTCAACCACTGAGCCGCACCAGCCGGGTGTTTCTCACTGGTTAAGGTGGTGGTGTGACAGGAGCCAGGCTGACCTTTGGGATTTGACTCGGGCGGTTTTGGAAATCTTTCCAGGATAACCCGTGAGCCCATAGGAGGTATCAGCCAGGGTCCTACGGCTGCGGGCCTGACCCCAAAGGGAGGAGGATGTGACCAGCATTTCTAGAGATTAGAACGGTCCTGCCCACCGCTCAGCCCACCGCTCGGCTGCAAGCGTGGTTAAACTGTGAGCGACTGAAAATAGACCTGTTTCGGCAGGCCAGCTTCCCCCACGCCAGCTGATTTATGGTGCTTGGGTGGGAGGGAGGAGGCGCAGGAACTCACGAGGCAGTTCTTGGGAGTTGAGACTTACGTAACCGAGGCAAGAAAGGCCAGCGCCGAGGGACCAGCGCTCCTGTCTGTGGCTTTGCCTTCTGTGCTGCAGCCTCGGCTTAGTCTGAAGCCGGGACGGGTCTGCCCTGCCTCTGTCTTGCTCAATGCCGGTTGATGAACTTAAAGATAGGAAGGGGCCCTAGGGGTGGGGGGGCACGTTCCTTTTCTGCGTGGAACATGAAAGCCTTTTTCTTGTCTGCGGCTTAGGCTCTTCCTCCTCGGCACCTCAGCCCTTGGAGAGCAGCTTCGGGGGGAAAACGTTCTGGTTTCTTCCATGCGTTGACTCCAACGCGGGTAGATGATTCTAGAACCATAGACAGCTCCATCTCTACTTGATTTTTGAAACTCACTACGCTAGGTGTTCACTTCCTAAAGTACGGCGTCATATTCCCAGTTCTGTTTGCCCAAGCAGAACAAAACTAAAATAATTATGCCACGTCACTCAGTAATTCCAGGGTACATACTCAAAAGCCTTGAGAGTAGTTATCCGTAGAAATACTCGCACATGAATGTTCACAGCAGCATTGTTCGCAACAGCCAAGGAGGAGACGCAACCCAAGTGTCCATCAGCTGATGAATGGATAAGCAAAAGGTGACCCGCCCCGCACAGTGGAATAGTATGCAGCCACGAAAAGTAACCAAGCAGCGATAAATGCTACAGCATGGATGAAAGCATTGTGCTGAGTGAAAAAGCCAGGCACAAAGAGTCCGTGTTGTAGGATCCCCTACATTGGAAATGTCCAGAAGAGGCAAATCCATGGAGACCACGCAGATTAGCAGTTGCCAGGGGCAGTTTCCGTACACACAGGGCTGGCACTGGGTGCAGCCTGTGCGTGTCCCCTGTGAGTGCGTGCAGAAGGGCTCCGTGAGGCAGCCCGAGGCCTTGGTTTGAACTGAGAGTCAGGAAGGGTCCGAGGGCTGTCTGCCCAGAGTGTTGAGTTGGCGCCACATTACCAACTGTTCTTGGTCTGTAACTGGCCACGGCCCAGCAGCTTGGAGAACTGGGGAGGGGCTGTTGAAACCTGTTCATGCTAGTTTCATTCCTAGAGTTTTTAAGATCCCTGGGGCTAGTCTTTGGGCTGAAGTAAATCGACATTGGGGTTGGGTGCCTTCAAACTGACAGAGTTTCGCATCAGCCATATCCCTGGGACCCGGCCTGTCTCCTGTCTCCCTGCTTTGCTTTCTCGGGGTATTTGAGGGTACAGCCAGGTTGGGGTCCTAGGGACATCCGAAACCTCTGGCCCTTCGCCTCCTGGTGGGAACTTAGAGGAGGAGGACATGGAGCAGCTTGGTTTAATGGACTCTTTCTTGCTCCGGTCCCACTGCTTGTTTCCGTGCTTCTTGGTGCTTGTAGGGGCGGTTGGGAGGAGAGACTGATGGCGAGGAAGATGGATTTCCTGTTTCCAATGTAACCATCTCCCCCTTCTCTTCCCTGCAGTGTTTGAACTGGTCAACCAAGGGTGAGTGTCCCCAGCCCCGGCCGGGCCGCTGCCCACGGCTTCTTGGGCTTGTGAAGCCGAGCGAGGCGACACTGGGCCCGGCAGTGAGAGCGCGCAGGCGGGCGTAAGTGTTGCCTCTCACGCGTGTGTCGACCTTTCAGGCCTGTGATGGAGGTGCCCACCCTCAAGCCGCTCTCTGAAGACCAGGCCCGTTTCTACTTCCAGGACCTGATCAAAGGCATCGAGTACTGTAAGCGGGGCCTGTGAGAGGAGTCTCTCCCGGGGGCGGGCAGGAAACGGGGCGTTTCTTACTTTCCTCCTCCAGCTCGAAGAGGTGGGTGGGAAACAGAACTGTGTGAGGAGATGCAGAGTCGGGGGGAGCTGCAGAGAACCCGCCTGTGGCCGTGCTGCTGGCGGCAGAACCTGTTCCTGCCACACGGGAAAATTAGGAGCAATGGCCAGAGGGTCCTGTTGGGGACTCTACTTCCATTGTCCCTTATGCTCTGATGGGGGAGGGAGGGTAGGGGAGAGGATCCTGTTTATCTCCCGGGACCTTAGTTTTCTCATCTGTAAAATGGGACTAAAGTGTCTCTCATCAGGGCTGCCATCAGCCAGTGCACATCAGTAGTTCTGATGGGCTGGTGTTTTCTGATTCTGATTGTTAAGCATTTTGACTCTTACCCATGCCTGTCACGTTAGGATTGTGTAAGCGGGAAGTAGTGAACACAGGTCTAGGCCCCAGACTGGACATTCAACGTAGGAAGCTGCTCCTCCTACCCCCATGTCATCGTCGTCATCCCCATCCCCATCCACGCCACAGAAATGCAGTTGGGTCTCGCAGACTATAGGATTGGCCTCCCCTGTGGGCCAACATCCGGGCGGGAGCAGTTAGCCAAGTCTTGCTTCATGGTTCGCACTTCAAATCGACGAGCAGGTTGAGTGTAGACCGTGACAGCCGAGTAAATGGAAACATATTCGACTGTCACAAATCTTGAGTCTTGAAGCTGGGAGCCACTCTCCACAAAAACTCTCCGTGCTCCGTCCCTGGGCAACTTAGTTCCTAATCGCTGTCGGCAGCTGGCGTTTCCCTCCTCCTCTTCGAGGACGGAGGGAAGGCCAAGGAGGTCCTCCTTTCCCCTTATCTCTCAGCGCCATGAGTGTCCCGCAGATCTCAGAGAGGGGAGGATGGGCAGAGGATGGAGCTGTGGGAGAGCGGAGGGGTCCGGCCTGTCTCCGCCTCTGGGCTGTGTGGGCCACGTGGAACTCCTCACGTGGTTTTCTTGCCCCCTCTCTCCCGTCTGATGTCTGTCCGCTTTCAGTACATTACCAGAAGATCATCCACCGGGACATCAAGCCTTCCAACCTCTTGGTGGGAGAAGACGGGCACATTAAGATTGCGGACTTCGGCGTGAGCAACGAGTTCAAGGGCAGCGACGCGCTCCTCTCCAACACGGTGGGCACACCGGCCTTTATGGCGCCCGAGTCGCTCTCCGAGACCCGGAAAATCTTCTCCGGGAAGGTGGGTTTGGACCTGCCAGAGATGCTGAGTTCTGCCTGCATCCTTTTCCGTCAGTTATAAGGGGCAAAAAATCCAACTCATGGTGGCTGAATCTATTATCATGGAAATGAGCGGGTGCATTTGGCTTCAGGAGGTGATTTAGATACAGAGATTCAAGTAGGGATCCATCTCGCAGTCTTAGGTCTGCTTTCCTGAATTGATTTCCTCCCCAGGAGGGTTGGCCATCAGCAGCTCCAGGCATCTTGCTGTCAGTTTACCAGCCTCAGTAGAAAGATTGTTGGTCTTCGGGAAGAGCTCTAGCAAAAATCCTGAAACTGGCTCTGATTGGCCCAGCATGGGTCATGTGCCCATCCTTGACCCAATCACTGGCTGGGGGAAGTGGTGCTCTCAGTGGTCAGTCCAGGATCATGTGCCTATCCTTGGCCCATTCATTGGCTGGGGGAAGTGGTGTTCTCATTGGTCAGTCCTGGGTCATGTGCCTACCCAGAGGCTGGGGGCAGGAGCAACCCCACCTCAACTCCATAGCCTGGATCCAGGAGAAATGGTTCCCCCAAAGGAAAGTTGGAGGAGATGAGGCCGGACAGGCAAAGGGATAGATGCCCTTCACCACCGTCGTCCCCTCACCCAACGCTCCTTTTTTTTTTTCTTGCAGGCCTTGGATGTTTGGGCCATGGGTGTGACACTCTACTGCTTTGTGTTTGGCCAGGTAACAGTGTGGGAGTGTCCTGCCTCCTGAGTGTGGCTGATTTTTATTTCCACAGTTAGATCTGAATATGAGAAAGGATGCCTTCCCAAATGTACATTATCTGCATATGATAGTCATATCTGTGAAAACATGATCTTTTAAAACAGAAGTATTGGCAGAGGCTCTTCGAGGTTGTAAGTAATTGATAGATTTAGGGCAAGGACAGCAAATGCTGCCCTCTCCCCACTCCAAAACCAAGACAGACATCACTAATCAGTAACTGCACTTTTTCTCCCGAGCCCCATACTGCTTTGATGTTCTCAGCAGTTCCTAGAAGCTGTCTGTGGGAAGCATAGGATTGGAGTGGAAGTTAAAATCCACTTGGCATTTTTAATTTAGGGAATACTGTTTTTTCTTTTTTGTCCTTTTTAAATAGTATTAATATTTAGGGGCTTCTGTTTTTAAAAAATATGTTTTATTGATTTTTAGAGAGAAAGGAAGGGAGAGGGGGAGAGAGAAACATTAATGTGAGAGAGAAACATTGATCAGCTAAACATTGATCAGCTGTCTCCTGACAAATTCTGACCAGGAATCAGGCCTGCAACCTGAGCACATGCCTTGACTGGGAATCGAACTGGCAGCCAAACCGGCAACCTTCTGGTGCACAGAACGACGCTCAACCCTCTGAGCAACACCAGCTAGGGTTGGGGCTTCTGTTTTTAACTCTGAAGTTCAGGTTGATTATGTGAGCTGTGAAAACATGGATTTTCCGTCTTCGTGAGTTTGTGCTCCTGTTGAGGAAAACTTAAGAAACTGGTCCTGTGAGGACATAAAGGAGTTTGTAATCTCCCTTTACCCCAACACGTAATCAGAAAGTTTCAATCCCATAGCGAAGTTGAAAGAATTGTACAGTAAACACCCTTGCAGCTGCCATCTGGATTCTACCAAAAAGAATCTTGCTGTATCACCTGTCTATCTATCTTCAGTCTGTCTTATTTATTTATTTTTTTTACATATCTCAAAGTTACCCACATCTCTACACTTGTGAATGTTTCAGGGTGCGATCATTAGGTAGAGCTCACTGTTTATTGGTGCTTCTCCTCCTCCTCCTCCTCCTCCTCCCCTTTTTTGGTAAAATTTACATACAATGAAATGTACAGATCTTAAGTGTACTAATTAAGGAGCTTATCAAATATACACCGGCGTCATCCAAATTGCTATCTCGGGCTAGTGCTGTTAATGAGCTCATTTTCCCTGGACAGGAGTGGACCAGGCCACTTTCTGAGACTTTCCCCAACCTTCCAAGCACTGTCATAACGGTTGCTTTTTCCTGGGCTCCTGGGTCAGGCCCTCCGTCCACTGGGTGAGAGCGTGGCTTGGTCACCAGCAGGTGGTGCATGAACGGGCCTTGGGATCAGCCTCGGCTAGGCTTACATCCCAGCTTTGTGCTCGCCAGGCAGGACCTGGCGCCTCTCCGAGTTCTTGTTTTTCTCTCCTATCAAATGAGAACAATACTTACCATTCCTTATGGCTACCGAGAGGGTTGACAGAAACCATTCAAGTACTCATTCATTCAACGCGTACTTATTGAGCCTGCTCGGTGCCAGGCATGTTCCTGGGCAGTGGGGAGACAGCAGTGAATAAGACAGGCCTCTTGGAGCTGTTGTTCCAGTGCAGGAGTTAGACAACACACACACACACACACACACACACACACAGTAAAACGCCAGGGACAGGTGCTATGATGAGAAGGTGTGGGGGGGGGGGTTATCTGCTTCAGACAGGAGCTCAGGGAGGCCTCCCAGAGAAGGTGCCTGTGGATCTGACACCGGAAACATGGGAGAAAACAAGCCAGGCCGGTGTTGGTGGGGAGAACATTCCAGGCAGAGGGAACAGCCAATGAGACATTGCTCTTGGGAAACCAGCGCAGAGCCTGGCCCGGACTAAGCCCCGGCCAGCCCCTGCTGTTACCGTGACGACTCCTGAGTAGTTGTTGGAGTTATCCTTGCTCTCCGAGGAGGTGGGTGAGGAGTGTGAGGGGAACGGTCCTCCCCTAGATCAGGCCGCTGGGCTGTTTCATTTCCCTGCGGCGGCCCACGCGGAGCGATGCCAGCACAGGGCGGGGGCGGCCACTGACGGCCGCTCGGGCCTCTCTCCGCAGTGCCCGTTCATGGACGAGCGGATCATGTGTTTGCACAGTAAGATCAAGAGCCAGGCCCTGGAGTTCCCAGACCAGTGAGTACCCCCCCAGCCGCCCCGCGTCGCCTCCCGCCCCGAGCCCCCAGGGGTCCCGCGTGTCTGACTCTCCGACTCCTGACGTGTCTCCCGCCCGCAGGCCCGACATAGCCGAGGACCTGAAGGACCTGATCACCCGCATGTTGGATAAGAACCCCGAGTCCAGGATCATGGTGCCCGAGATCAAGGTACGCGGGAGCCGCAGCGGCCCCACGGCGTGCGTGCGCGCGTGCGTGCGCGTGCCGGCGGCTTGGCCTGCGTCGTCCTCTGCTTGGAATTGTGTGGCTCGACCCCGCCTTGGCCAGGCCCCTCGCCTCACATCCACAGCGCCACGCCCTCCTTGGCACCGCTGCCCTCCCCCGCGCAGGAGGAGGAGGATTGGGGGCTTGTGTTGATGTGACTGTGTAAGTGGGATCTGCTGCCTGCTGAGCAGCTAGCACTCCCATTGGCTTGGGCTGATGGCATTCACCTTCCCTGGACCCGACCGACCAACCGACCGGGGGCCTCTTTGTGCTCCACACCCCGGCTGCCGAAGGCCTGGCCCTTGCCTTGACCTTGCCCATCCTTTTGTGAGAAATTGCAGGGAGGGTGGGAGGAAGTTAGTGAACAGTTTGATCCCCCCCCCTTCTCCACCCTGGCCTGCTGAATTCCACCCTGTTCCAGAAAGCACTGTTAGGAGAGGACCCCCCCCCCCCCCACACACACACACACTTACCCCCAAAACCCCAGCCAAGGCCACACACACACACCTGGCTCGTTAGGAAATCTGCAGATTTGCTTCGGGAACCCCTGTGCACCTAGCTAACTAGCATTTGAAGAGGGGGAAGCCCAAAAGGTGACTGATGAGGGCTTAGACCCTAGGGGTGTGTAGGAGGGGCCAGGCCCCTGCCTGGGTCCTCTCTGTGTTGTGCCCTTCCAGCTGGTCTGTGGTCATTGTGCCTCCCCGAGCCTCTGTGTGTCCTTCTGTGCAATGGGGAGGATGCTGCCTGCTCGGAGCTGAGCTTCCCAGGCGTCAGGAAGAGATGCTGAGGAGCGGATGGGTGCTCCTCGGGCAACTGCGGGTGGCAGATGCCAAACGGTAGTCGCTTCCGCCAAGACCTGGGGCCAGATGGAAAATCCGGTCCGTGCACACCCCCCCTCGTAGCTCCCTCCCATTCTCTGTCCCTCGTCTCTTCCGCGCTTCCCACCATCTCGCTCCCTGCACCCTCGGCTTGGCTTACCCGCTTTCTTGCATGTCTGGCCTCCGGCCACTGCCTCTCCCCCCGTGCACCCCTCCCCGGGCTCCGCTGTCCCGCCTCCGGGAGCCAGCCCTCACCCCTCCTGTCATTCGTTGAAGCTGCACCCCTGGGTCACGAGGCACGGGGCGGAGCCGTTGCCGTCGGAGGACGAGAACTGCACGCTGGTCGAGGTGACCGAAGAGGAGGTCGAGAACTCGGTCAAACACATTCCCAGCCTGGCGACCGTGGTAAGGCGGGACGAACCACTGACCGAGAGCAGGGACAGAGAGTCGCTGGGGCCGGAGGTGGACCCAGCCAGGACAGGCTGAGACCCAGGCAGGCGTCTGAGAAGCAGACGCTGGGCCCGAACGTCAGGGGATGGGGATGGCTGGCTCTGCCCCAAGCCCACTGCCACCAGCCTCTGGGCCTCGGGCGCACATCAGGCCCGGGGCCCGTATCTCCTGGCCTCGGTTCCGTCTGCAGCCACGTCCCCATGTACCATAGAGAGGGGTAGCCCCCCTCCCAGGATCCCACTGCCCCTCCCAGAATTTCTGCTTTTAGAGCATGTTGGGAACAGGAGAAGGAAGACCAGGGCAGGTGCCAGGGATGGAGCTGGGGTCTATGCGCCAGGATTTTCACCTGGTGCCTCTCCAGTCTCCAGAGCTAATGGCTTAGCTCCGTGGTTGGCAAACTGCGGCTCTTGGGCCCCTTGAGTGTGGCTCTTCTACAAAATACCACAGCCTGGTATGTTGAAGAAGTGGCATTAGAAGAAGTTTAAGTTTAAAACATTGGGCTCTCGAAAGACATTTCAATCGTCGTACTGTGGATGTTTGGCTGTGTTGGCTAATGCGTTGGCCGACCACTGGCTTAGCTCATCTTACGTCTGCCGTGTGTGCGGCTCCCGGCTAGCAGAGGGGCTCCCGCTTCCCACGCTGCAGAAAATTCTTCCTGACTCAGGAGGGTGGGGAAACCCGAGTCTCCAGCCCCTTTTATGGCCTCACACTTGCGTCCTAACCCAGGAAGGAGGAGCCAGAACGTGGAGTCCTCAGGCTCAACCCTGGAGACTGGGAGTCACCCACTTGCCAATCCCCTACCCGTCAGGGTGCCTGGCTCCAGGTGGGAGACCGGGACCCTCGGGAACCCGGATCCAGGCAGCAGTCCTGTGACAAAGTCCAGCTGGCCACCCACCGTGGCCGCCTCCAAAGCCCTGGGCTGCGTTTGGCCAGTACTGGCTCTGGTAGAGAGGCGGGGCCCTGGGCTCCGGGAGGGGCCTCGAGTGACTGCCCCTGTAGGAGCCCAAATGCTGGCTCCTTCTCTCCAGCTTTGCACCTCTCCCCCCTGCTTCCTCACACACTTTCTCTCGCCTTCTCCCAAATCCTGAGCCCCCTTAGCGGGCATCCATTCACATCTTCCTTCTCTACCCCTCCCCACCTCGCCTGGAGCCTCTGCATGACCTTCACTGTTAAAAACTCACCCACGCCCACTCTCTCTTTCTCATCCACCCACTGCACCCACCCGATGCCCATAGTGGGGCAGGCGCCTGGCGTCAGGTCCCGGGGCCCACCGTGGGTGATTCTGTTCCCGGCTTGGGGTGTTCTTGGGAGTAGGTGTCTGCCCCGGAGTCTGAACTGGTCCTTGACTCTTCAGGAAGCACTTGAGTGGTTTCTCAGGCCTGGGCTGGGAGCAGGGGTACCGTGACGAATAAAACCAACATGACACCTGCCATCCTGTAGGGGCACACAACCAACAAATAGATGTGCTGTGTAACTGAGGGGCCTCGAGATGTATCCCTAAGGGGGTACGTGGGCCAGGGGATGGGTTGAGAAGGCCACCAGGAGGAGAATGGACTTTGAGGATGTTTTCTCGGTGCTTAACCCTGGGGCAGGCGTGTCTCCTCGCCTAACACGCAGTCCCCTGAGGAAAGGGCATCCTTGCATGTTGCCGGTTGGGGAAATGCGATAGTAAAATCACGGTGAAAAACAGCCTGGCCGTTCCTCAAAACATGAAACCTAGTTACCATGTGACCCAAGAATTTCATTCCTGGGTCTACACCCAAGAAAAACGAAAACATTTTGTGTGGAAAACCATGTCTACACAAAAACTTGGACACGTGTTCATAGCAGCATTGTTCATAACTAGAGGCCCGATGCACGAAGATTCATGCAAGAATGGGCTTTCCTTCCCCTGGCTTCTGGCACCACATTTGCTCTAGCCTGGAGCCACCTTTTCCGCCTTCCCACGCTGCCCAGAAACCCGGAGCGGCTAGGGCCGTGTGGGACACCTGTGTCGTCGCCAGCGCCTGCATATACAAATTAACCCGCCATCTTTGTTGGGTTAATTTGCATACTCCTGATTGGCTGGTGGGCATCGCGAAGGTACAGTCAATTTGCATCTTTCTCTTTTATTAATGTAGATAGCTGAAAATTAGAAACAGCTGAAATGTCCACCAATTGAATTACTAAAGAAAATGTATGTACATGCAAAGGAATATTATTCAGCCATGAAAAGGAACAGAATGCTGATACAGCATATTACAAACCTCAAAAACATTATGCCGAGTGAAAGAAACCAGACACAAAAGGTCACATGCTGTGTTGTTCCTTTTACATGAAATGTCCAGAAGAGACACGTTCAGAGACAGAGCAGGTTGCTGTATGCCAGGGACTGGGAGGCCGAGGATGTGGGGAGTGACTGCTCACGGGGACAGGGTTTCTTTGTGGGGTGATGGAAATGTTCTGAAATCATACAGTGGCGATACAAACATACTGAACACTGTGGAATTGTACCCTATAAAATGGCGAGTTTTATGCTGTGGGAATTATATTTTTAATTTTAAAAAAAGTGCAGCCCCCTTATTCCTGGAAATCAGTAGTTGGGGTTTCATAGGTGTGGTCTTAGGTGTAGGTGTGGTCACCGAATGTAGAAGCCTGGCCTTGCAGACGAGGCAGGTTGATGAGCTGGGAGGGCACATCAGCGGTGGCTCAGGGAGACTCAGTCAGTCCCCAGGGCAGGCCAGCTCTGCTGGAGCACAGGGTCCCGGCGGGTGGGCAGGCCACGACTCGATTGTGACCTGACTTCAACATCAGACCAAGGAGTTGGGACCTTATCTTGTTGGCAGTCAGGGAGCCGTGGGAGGTGTCGGGAGTGGACCCATCAGAATTGGCAATGGCTTTGGCTGCTGTATCCCACATGCCGCCCAGCGTCTCCCAAAGGCCAGGAGCCCCGGGAGCCGACAGGGAGCTGGGGGAGAATGGGCAGGTGAGGGAGGGTGTCACTGGACTCCCACCTCCTGGTGGCTGAGCCTCCGCGTCTCCCCTGCAGATCCTGGTGAAGACCATGATTCGAAAACGCTCCTTCGGGAACCCGTTCGACTGCAGCCGGCGGGAGGAGCGCTCGCTGTCGGCGCCCGGAAACCTGCTCAGGTGAGTGTCCGCCTGCCTCCCTGCAGGGAGCAGCAAAGCCCCGGGCACGCTGGGGAGGCCACAGCCGCCCGGGCACCCTGGCTCAGCCGGCCTCCTTGTGCTCATAGCGAACCCACCGGAAGTTGTACCTTTCTCAGGGGAGTTTCTCTTCACCTGGAGAGCTCCTGACCATCAGAAAGCACTTTTGTGGCCCAGAAGCAGACGTATCCAGCCCTGTGCTGGGCGAGCAAGCCAGTGTCCTCCTTGAGGGACCCTTCGTGTCTCTGCAGAGCAGTGTCCTCATCATCGCCCTGGCAACAGCTCTGCCAAGCTGGTCTTTGGGGTCTGAGTGTCCCAGGGGCTTGGGGCGGGCATCCCACGGACCCCACCTGTCCCTTCTCACTTCCCTTTTCCCTCCCCTCTGGCGGTTCCAGCAAAAAACCAACCAGGGAATGGGAACCCCTGTCTGAGTCCAAGGTAAAGCCTGCCTTCCTGCCTGCCTGCGCAGTAGCCTCTGCTGGGGCCGGGGCCGGGGGCGGGAGCAGCTGCAGAGCACGGCACCCCCACCCTAGTGGGCGGCAGACACGTCTTCCTGCTGCACCCAGGCTCACCGTGGGCCTCTGGACCCAGGCTGAAAAGGAGGGTGCCAGCGGCTTGGACCCAACGGCAGGCATGCATGTAAGCTGGGCTGCAGGTGCATGGCGCTCCGCCCGGAATGCCCGTGGATTCACTCGGGTCCTGTGAGCCAGCTCAGGACCTGTCAGCGGCATCGGGGCTCTGTCCCAGGGCCCCGTGGCCGCCCCTGCTCTGGGTCGGCCGGGCATGCTGCATCTGTGGCTCTGCCTGCTGCCTCTCCAGCATCCGCCCTTCCTATGATGGTTCAGACCTAGGAAGTAAGTCCCCTTTCCCACCTGCTGCAAAGCTGTGTAAGAGCTCTCTGCCCCCGGGTGGGTGTGGGCCATCCCTCCTCCAAACACAAACCCGGGTTGGTGTTAGCACCTCCTAGGACAGGCGAGGATGTCTGTCCCTGTAAGACCGACGTGACAAATGGCACCTTTTCTGCCACTCGACCCCCAGGGCCTGGCAGGGTCATAGTTCTTCCCACCGAGCCTGGCCCACCACCTCAGCCTCAACTGGGAGCTCTACGCAGCCATTTCTGTGGTTTCAATGCAGCTTTATTGACATATAATTCACATACCATACCATTCACCCGTTGAGAGTGTATATTTCAATGGTTTTTGTTTTTATATACACACTTTTATTGATTTTCAGACAGGAAGGGAGAAGGGGAGAGAGAGAGAGAGAGATAGAAACATCCGTGATGAGAGGGAATCATCCATTGGCTGCCTCCTGCACACTCCCTACTGGGGACCGAGCCTGGGCATGTGCCCTGAGCAGGAATCGAACGGTGACCTTGTTCATAGGTTGACACTCAACCACTGTACCGTGCTGGCCAGGCTATTTTTAATTTTTTTTTTTTTTTTTTTTTTTTACTTAATATGAGAGAAAGAGAGACCGATGTATTGTTCCATTTATTTACACATTCATTGTTTATCCTCGTATGTGGCCTGACCAGGGAATGAACCCGCAACCTTGGCATATCGGGACGATGCTCCAACCAGCTGAGCCACCCAGCCAGGGCCCAGGGGTCTGTAGTGTGCTCACAGAGTTGTGTAGCCGCCCAGCTCCTCCAGCCCCCGGCAGCCACTAATCTGCTTTTGGCTCCTGTGGGTCTGCCTGTTCTGGATACGGGTGTAAATGGAATCACACAGTATGTAGCCTTTTGTGTCCGACTTTCTCACTCAGCATCATGCTTTCAAGGTCCGTCTGTGGTGTTTGTAGCAGGTGTCAGTGCTTCGTTCCTTTTTATGGTGGAGAAATACCTCATTGTACGGAGGCCACATTCTGTTTATCTGTTCATCTGGTGACGAACACTGTTTGGCCACCGCGGATGAGTAATGCCTCGATGAATGCTCTTGCATTCGAGTGGCAGCTCTTTGTTAGGAGTTGGCTCAGATGGAATGCATTGGCCACCCATACATAGAAGTCGGGGCTTATATGGTAATACAGGAGGAACGCTTTTGTGTGGGGATTATTTATGCTGCTCCGGGAAGGCGAAAGCGGCAGTTGGCAATCGGAGCGGGGCGTCACAGCCTGTGGGGCTGCCTCGGTCCTGTATGTCTCTCCTGGCCTTTCTCTTCTCAACCTCAGATTTAGGGTTTGCCTCCCGTCCATGTGCAAGACTGTCGCTTTCAGCCTTTTACTTTTAATGAGATCAAAATAGCAAGACATCAACAGACTGAAACGTGTCCAAAGGGCTTTACTGCCCCTTTATTCCCTCATCTGCAATCCCAGCAACACCTGGGGGTTACCTGCCCTTGCCCTCAGCCCACAGGTGGGGTCTTGGGTTGTCCAAAAGGTCCAACGCTCTGGACCCATAAGGCATAGTCAGTCAGTCATTGGAGGCATGGTCCCAAGTCCCATCTGCAGCAAGACCAGCCAGTAACCCAGGGCCGGCGTGGACATTGAGGGACAGCCTCCTCCCTGGGAGACTTGACCCTCTTGTTTGGCAGAGACATAAAGCCAATGAGTGGTGTTTTTTTTGTTTTTGTTTTGTTTTTTAATATATTTTATTGATTTTCCACAGAGAGGAAGGAAGAGGGATAGAGAGCTAGAAACACTGATGAGAGAGAAACATCGATCAGCTGCCTCCTGCACTGGGATGTGCTCGCAACCAAGGTACATGCCCTTGCCCGGAATCGAACCTGGGACCCCTCAGTCCGCAGGCCGACTCTCTATCCACTGAGCCAAACCGGTTTTGGCAGTGCGGTTTTCTTTTGACAGCTGGTTCCCGAAGGCTGGCTGTGTGCCAGGCCACGCCCAGGCGGTCCTCACTGTCCCCAAGAAGTTCACCTGCTGACAGGAGACACGTGTCATGGTTCCTGCCCTGCAGGAGCCTATAGCGGAGGGGGAGGGGCGTCCAGATAGCCAACGCCCTCAGTGGACATGCTGCCCAGGAGTGGGGCCCAGGCGGCACTTGTCTGTGCTGCGATTTTGGGTGTCATGCACACGGGTTTGCATGCATGTTTATGGTCCCTTGCTATTGTTGGCACATGACGCTGGTTTTCCATTTACAGAGGGGATCCAGTCTCCTTTGAAAACTGTCTCTCAGGCCCTTCGGGACTGGGCGAGGCTGTTCGAGACCAGCTTTGGCCCTGCGAGCTCGGTGGGCTCTTTGGGAGTGGGTTTGGCTCTCGGGGGCTTGTCTGGGCTCCTCGGGGCTAGGCTCCATGATCTGGGACTGGGCTCAGCTGTTTGGGAATAGGCTCTTCCTAGGTTTAAAAAGAAAAGAAAAAGGAAATCGTGTCTAAGTGAGAAGAAAGGGGGAGAGAATCTAGAGGAGGAGGCTGTGTAAATAACTTGGGACCTGGAGGTGCTGGTTCCGGGCTGTGCCAGCACTGCCCGCTCTTAACCTTGGTTTTCTGTTTGGTGAGCAGGAAGCGCGGCAGCGAAGACAGCCTCCCCGGGCCCGACCCGCCCCTCTCGGGGGAGGAGGAAGTGCTCTTGTGAAGGGCGGTCGGCGTGTGGAGAGCTGGGGGGCCCTGGGCCCCGGCCACCACCGGACGCGCATGCACCCTCTGCGGCCAGACGACGCGATGGAGTAGCGGCCGGACGCCCGTGACCTCGCATGCTGGGCGTCTCACCTCCAGGGCTGCGCACCCTGCGTTTCCATAGCAGCATGTCCTACGGAAACCGAGCACGTGTGTAGAGCCTTGCCGTCATCTCTGGTTGTTTTTTTTTTTTTCTTTTCTTTTTTTTTCTTCCTTTGTTGTTTTTTAAAGGGGACAAAGAAAAAAACAACAACACACAACAACCCACAAAACACTCCATGACATTGACCTTGGCCGCTGGCTGGCTGAACAGGCAAGTGTGAGGAGTTGCAGGCCCAGAGCCACATGCATTTTGGGACAGTTTTGCTTTATAAAACGTTTTTATGCCAAAAAATCCTTCATTGGGAACCCGGAACCACGTCAGATATACCGAGAGGACATGTGTGTATGGGGGGGGGGGGGTTGAAGAGGGTGAAAACCTGGCTGAAAACTCAGAAGGCGTGGCCTGCGACCACAGAGTGAGTGAGCTGCCACATCTGAAAGGGAGAAGAGTGGATGAGCCTTCTCCTGCAAACCCCAAACCCAGAACCACACCACCTTCCAGCACCGGGACTCACGGCAGCGAGGCAGGGCCAGCCCTCAGTAGCTGCGGGGAGCTTGGATGCAACCTATTTGTAAGAAGGACTTGAACATTTTTTTATTTTTACTTTATTTTATTTTATTTCTTCGTGTGACTGGAATTGTCAGGAAAACAGAAAGGGCTTGATGGCGAATTGTTTCACAGAGGGGATTGTCAACCCTAAAGGGCATTTGTGGTGGAGGTGGTGGCGGTGGAGGGAGAAGTTTTGCTTAAAGGACTTGAATGCATACGGGGAGGTGGCCCAGCTCTCTCAGCAAATCTCTCGTTCCGTTACAAAAAATCAGGGTGAAATCCTCTACTTCCATGGAGACTCCATGGCTTAAGGGGGAGCAAACAAGCAAAAACGGTCCCTTCTCCAACCAGCCTGAACGTGAGTCCTTCAGGAACCACCCAGACCCTCCAGGACCTAGTCCCCGGCTTCGGGCGGGTGATGGGAGTTAGAACCCACGAAACCCGCGCTTGTAAATTAGCAGCTTAGCTTGTTGATAGCCTGTGTGATTCTAGACACGGAACACTTTGTTCTCCCCTTAAATGCCAGCCGAGCATTGTCCGTAGTGAAACAGTTTATCCAGTTTCCAGAGGGCCGGTTAGGAAATGGTTTCATTCGACCGAGACGCAACCCATCATCCGTAGCAGCAAAGCTCTGTTAGGATGGACACGGGGAGAACCCTGACACGCCCTATGGGGAAGGCCGTGGGAATCCAGAGCCCTCCTCAGGGTCCCTGGAACCCGGGCTCGGCACAGGACTTCCCTTCCGCAGTCAGAAGCCCAGAGAGAAAGGTTTATCCTGTCTGACCTCCATCTGGTCCTGGGCAATGGGGCTGCAGTCCCAGCGGGTCTTCTTCCAGGGGCACGTGTGGGTGATGGTGAAGGTCAGGGGTTAGGGAAACTGGGAGGACTTTGTCCTGGGAGATTCCCGGTGCTTTGTGGAACCCGGGGAAACACTACCTGCTTTCTGTAGTCTCTGTGCGGTCGGCCTTGGTATGAGGACATTTGGAGAGAGAGACAGACAGGCAGACAGACAGACACAAGCAAGGACTGGTGCCCCTGCCCAGCACGTCCTCAGAGCCCAGGAATTCTTGGCATCTGTAGATCTTGAACGTAAGCTCTGGACTGTCTGTCATTTGGCCAGTCTTTTCTCGTGATCCTATAACAGTACAGAATGAGGAACTGCTGGTTTCCAAAGAGCAAAGGACACCTGTCCCGATGGAGGGCCCTCTCGCCTGTTTGCTTGCTGCTTGTAACCTGGCACTTCCTCCTGCCCTCCCTCCCTGCTATGCCTGTTTAGATGCCTGGGCCCCACCCCTTCCCGGAGCGGGTGGGGTCTGGTGGGTTTGCAGCGAGCTCCTTGCCGTTGTGTTGTTTGTCTCAGCTGGTTCATGTGACTCCGGCCTGGCGGGTGGCGCGTCCCACACAGATCTTCTGCAGAACTCCTGTGCTGACACAGCCACACCGGGCAACGCCATCTCCCCCCCCCCCCCCCCCCCCCCCCCCCGCGACCTCGCGTGGCAGGTTTCACGTGTGGAATGCCAGCCATTAGGCAGCACCCATTTCAGCGGTGGGTTAGGGAGGCCCAAGTTCATGACTTTTTTTTTTTTTTTTTTTTTTAAACAAAGAAACACCAAAGAAAGCTGTGGAAAGGGACTGGCTGCCACCCCCAGGAAGCCTAAGCAGAGAGGGCTGTACCATGAGGTGTTAACTACCACCCCCTTGGGGCACAAACGTTGGTTTTTCCAAAGCCGGCTCTCGGGCGAGGGGAAGCCATTAGGCGCAGCGGTTTCCGGTGAGCCAAAGGCCGCCCGTCCGTTTCTCCCGTTGCCGGCTCGTCTGTGGGACCGATTGGGTGTAAGCAACCTGTGGCCTGCATCTGGGCCTCGAAGGAAGCACAACTTTGCCATCTTTTCCTCTGCCCCGTTGTACCCCTCCCCGCTCCCCCCGTCCCTATTCTGCTGGCTCACCAGTGGCTCCCATAAAGCCTTATCTAGCCCCTTGTCGGCACTGGGGGCCCGAGAGGCTGTCTCCCCGCTAGCCCGGCCTTTCCTGAGAGTTAGGGCTCCTGTCCTCAAAGCCTGTCTGGACCAAGGAGGCTCATACCTGTGCATTTAGACACACAGGTTCGACCTGCCACTCACCCATCTTCCCGGGGGGAGCTTCACGTTGCCAGGGGGGGAAGAACCATGACCTCCAACTTATTTCTAAGGTGCTAGGGAAGGTTCCAAGGTCGTCGGTCCCCATCTTCCCTCCAGCTCTACGGGCCGAGTTTCGTGGGACTGCTGACTTTTCTATTCTGTGATTGATTTACTGCCCGATGTTTCCGTTTCATTCCTGATCCTTTCTACTATGCATTTTTCCTTTTATCAGGTGTACAAAGTTAAATACTGTGTATTTATCACTTAAAAAGACATGAACTTGAGAAGAAAAACAAAACAACAACAAAACAAATAAGCCTTTGGTGTTTTTCCACAAATGTTTAAGCTTCTCTGTAAACTTGAAATAAACAGCCAAAATGGTGCAAAGCCGGCCTCCCTGGGATTTTTCTGTTGGCCGTCAGATCAGCACTCTGTAGGACATCGGTCCTTATGTCTGTTTTCCTTCCTTAGGTCGACGTGAGGTCAAATGCCGGGTCAAGGCTAACGTGTCCAGCATTACGTTACTCATCCCTAATTTAAGCGTGTCCTGGTGTCTTGCTCAGAGAGTGGTCCCCAGACCAGCAGTGCCGGCTGCACTGGGAGGTGGATTAGAGATGCAGACTCCCAGGCCTCGCTTACCCAGGATCCCCAGGTGGCTGGTCTGCACGCTGAAGTTTGAGAAACACGGCTCTCGCAGGCAGGCGATGGTTTGATTTTTCTGGCGGAGATCAAACAGGTGAGCAGCTGCGGGAGCAGTTTTCACGAGACATCAAGCAGCCCAGGGGGTAGGCATGCTACATGACACTTCACAAGGTGTGGGTACTGCTAACCCATCCCATGGGTCATCGCCTTTGCCCGAGCCTGCCGGCAAAGTCAGTGTGTTACAGCGTCCCCCCCGCCGCCAGTTCTCATGGCGTCTGGAGACTGTTGTGGAACGAATGGTTTCCCCGGACGAGAGGCTGGGGGTGCCTGCTTGGGTGTGCACCTCCGTTTTCTGTCACCAAAGGCAGCGGAGGAAGCCTGAGAGCTTCCTGTTCCGTTGCTGCAGAAATCCAACGTGGAGACGCTGGCCGCCAAGAGCCAAACGCAGGTGTTGCCATTAAAGCCCCTGAGAACCCGGGAGCGGATGGGCCTGGTGAGCTTGCATTGAGCACCTTGCGGTGGTTCAGTGGAATCTGATGAAAGCTAAAAGAAGGCGTGCAGGTGCATCACTTTGCATGCATTCTTTTCGGGGTTCCAGAGACTCCCAGAAGCCCATTTCGGATGTGAGGACCCCTTCTTGAGAGGCAGTGCCATCAGGTGGGGACGTAGCTGAACCAAAAGGTGACTCTGGGTGAGTGAATAAAACAAGCAATGCCATCCCCAGCCCCCAGCTGACACCCCAACTGGCCCTAGCATTCTCTGCACTGGGAGGCTGGAAGGAGTCTCCTCCACTCCAGTAACCATCACTCCTTAGCCTGCAAGGTTAGAGGGCATTCCTAAGAATTCCAGCTCCATTTGAGCTGTGGGTTTAAGTGGGCATTTTCAATAAAAAGGTAGCATGTACCACAGTTTTGTTTTGTTTTTAGAGGGGTTCAGTAAGCCTTTTTAAAAATACATATTTTTAATTGATTTTAGAGAAAAGGGAGGAAGAGAAACATGAATGAGAAACATAAATGAGTGAGAAACATCAATTGGCTGCCTCCTGCATACCCCTACTGGGGATGGAGCCTGCAACCTGGACATGTGCCCTGGGTGGCATTCAGCCAACTGAGCCACACCAGCCAAGGCCAGGAAACCTTCCCCAAAGTCAGAAAAGCCCAACTTGATCATTTTCCCCATCAGAAGCAGGGTCCTTTAAAAATGAACGGCTCCTTCAGTGCTCGGAAATGAATGCAAGACAAGGGGGAGGGCCAACTGCTTTCTTTGGGGGAGACCTTGAACACCTGGTGCGGAATGAAGTCAGCGTGAAGGCTAAACCAGAAATAGCTTCATTAACATTTCACACCAGTGGCAACGGAGGTGGAGGTGGTGCTGGTGCTGCTTCTGGTTGGAAGCTTCTGGAAAGCAAACGGGGTCGGGGGGTGGGAAGAGAAGCTGTTGTCATGTTACCTAAAATGGTGCCCCCTAGAGTGTATGCAGTGCCGTCGTATTAGGGAAAATATAAGCACTGGTCAGGCGAGTTGTTTCTAGAGAAAAGAGATCTTGTAAACTCTGCAAGAACACAGCCTGGTGAAGATCAGAATCCTCGATGAAGATCAAAATCCTTAAGAGATAGTTGAAGTAGGAAAAAAAAGTACCAAGGCTCCAACCTCAGACTGAGCACAATGGGCTGGGACCACAAACGGATTTACTAGGGAAGGAAAGAAGAACATTCGGCTCCTGCTAGGAAACCTTGCAGATGGAGATTAAGAAAATCATTTGTTTTAATGTTTGGTCCTCAGTCATCTCAGCATACATCTTCTCAAAAGAGAAACGCTAGGTCCGCCTCATGATCACACGAACGAAGTCTGGCAGGGGGAGAGGACCCGCAGTTAGGTCCTTGCACCTGCGCCGCTGGGCCTGGCCTGCAGGGGGCGCCCCATGGGGGAGCTTCTGAAGAGAGCCGGCCCTGGAGAAGGCCCCAGCCCTGTGGCTATAGCGGGCGTCACTGCCCTGGGGCCACGGCTCACCCAAAGGATCCCGAGTTGAAGGGTCAGCAAAGGTGACCCAGCCAAGAACAGGGTGGTTAAAGATGTGCAACTCTTGCAACACAAAATGGGAGCAGCTGGGCAGCCCTGAAGGACTTATGGAGTGGACACTGACTTCAGAATCTCGAACTTTCCCTGGGGGTGCCATGGAAGCCTTTTCTCCCTTCTGATTTTTTCCTTGGCTTTGATGAGTGCCGTGGGGAGCCCAGATGTGGGGTAGACATTACTGGTCCATCTCATTGTGGATACCCTGCAAAGAACGACACATTTGCCATTAATGGATATGCTTATGGATAAACGTACCCTCACCCGGCACTGCCCACATGCAAGCCTGGAGCATTCTGGGTGGCGAGGGCCAGGTGCCTTTGCTGAGGACTTGGGACAGCCCTTCAGAGCCGCATGCACCCAAGTTGGTCCTGGTGCAGTGGTGGCAAAGCATGGTTCCCAACCCTGTTTGCTGTGCAAGGCGATTTTGTCATATCTGTTATCATGACTCAGCAGAGGTGTCCCTGATTAAAAGGAGGCTACATTAAAAAAAAACAAAATAAATCTTTATTGTTTAGATTATTACAGGTGTTTCTCCCCCATATCTCCCCTCTACCTGATTCCCAACTCCACCCCATGCCCTTACCCCAGCCCCTGTCTTCATCCATAGGTATAAGATTTTTGTCCAATCTCTTCCTGTACCCCTCAAACCCCTTTCTTCCTGAGAATTGTTAGTCCAATCACTTTCTATGTCCCTGATTCTATTATATTCACCAGTCCATTTTGTTCTTCAGATTTTTTATTCACTTGATTTTTAGATTCACTTGTTGGTAGGTATGTATTTGATGTCTTTTTGTTGTTCATAATTTTTATCTTTACCTTTTTCTTCTTCTTCATCTTCTTAACAAATACCCTTCAGCATTTTATGTAATCTTGCTTTGGTGTTGATGAACTCCTTTAACTTTTTCTTGACTGTGAAGTTCTTTATCTGACCTTCAATTCTGAATGATAGCTTTGCTGGGTAGAGTAATCTTGGTTGTAGGTTCTTGTTGTTCATCATTTTGAATATTTCTTGCCACTCCCTTCTAGCCTGCATAGTTTCTGTTGAGAAATCAGCTGACAGTCGTATGGGTATTCCCTTGTAGGTAACTAGCTGTTTTTCTCTTGCTGCTTGTAAGATTCTCTTTGTCTTTTGCCCTTGGCATTTTAATTATGATGTGTCTTGGTGTGGTCCTCTTTGTTTTTTGTTTTTTTAATATATTTTATTGATTTTTTTACAGAGAGGAAGAGAGAGGGATAGAGAGTTAGAAACATTGATGAGAGAGAATCATCAATCAGCTGCCTCTTGCACACCCCCTACTGGGGATGTGCCCACAACCAAGGTACATGCCCTTGACCGGAATCGAACCTGGGACCTTTCAGTCCGCAGGCCGACACTCTATCCACTGAGCCAAACCGGTTTAGGCATGGTGTGGTCCTCTTTGGATTCCTCTTGTTTGGGGTTCTGTGCACTTCCTGAACTTGTAAATCTATTTCTTTTACCAGGTAGGGAAAGTTTTCTGTTATTATTTCTTTCAATAGTCCTTCAATGTCCTGCTAACTCTCCTCTGGCACCCAAAAAAATCCGGATGTTGGTACGCTTTAAGCCGTCCTGGAGGCTCCTTACACTATCCTCAGACTTTTGGATTCTTCTTTCTTTCTGCCTCTCTGGTTGGGTGATTTTTTTTCTTCCTTATATTCCAGATCTTTGGTTTGATTCTTGGGGTACGTTGATCTGTAGTTGAGTTTCTGTATATATAGGGGCCATCTCCAATCACCTGAGGTGGTCGCTTTTGGTATATCCCTTTGTGGGCTGAGTGGAAAGTCTTGGTGTAGTTAAGCCTTGCTTGCTCTTGGTACGCTGGGAGGAACTGACCTCCAGGCCAGTTGTCTGTGAGGACCCGCTGTGTCTATAAAGGAAGAACTGCTGCGCTGGAGACGGTTTAAGTGGGGCTTTGGTGCTCACTGAGTCCGTCTCCCAAATATGTCACTTATGGGTGTGAGTGGTTGAAATTGACCACTAGGAACACTGGCTTCTGGATCTCCAAGGGGATGCAGTTCAGCTGTTTGAGGCCACCCTGCAGGAGCTACAGCGAGAACTACAGTTTTCTCCTGTTTGCTTGGGACTTGGGTGTTTTGTTGCTACAGCTGCAGTTTATATGGTTAAGCTGCCACAATACAGGCCATTTATATGCAAAAGCAGCTGTGTGTTGCCTGGGCAGGTCTGTAGAATGTGTGGGCTGGGCCTCAGGGTGGGGTGGGGCCTCAGGACATCACTAGATTGGGGCGTGGCTACCAGCGATGGCTGCCATCAGCAGTCCCTGCCCTTCCGTGTTTCCAAGTTCCCAGGATTCCAAGTCCCCGCTTCCCTGCAATTCAGTTTCGGACCGACAGCTACTCCCCGTAGGCATCTGGGTTCCCCACGTGACCCCAGAAACACATTTCATAGTGATCGGGAGCTTGTTCCCCTTCGCGTGCCTCCGTACCTGGGCTCCTCAGCTTTTCAGTGCTTGCACTCCTTTCTCTTTCAGCCAGCCTTCCCGTGGCTTTGGGTGATAGACATCCTTTATATTAGTTTTAATTTTTAAATTGTTTTGCGAGGTGGCAGACCAGCTGTTTACCTCTGCCGCCATCTTGATAGGAGTAAATTTTATTAATGTTTTTATTTTTTATTTTTTTGGGGGGAGGGGCTAA